AGCACAACTTTAAAGCTGCAAATTATGGACAGACAGGAAATATTGAGTGACATTATGTGAGTTTCCTGAGTTAGCACAAAACTCCAGCCACCGTTTAAGACATATTAATTGGTTATTTTAGCCATAGGGCTGGGCAGCATGAAGCCAGAAAGTACTACACCTGATTTTTAACAGTGCAAGACTAGAACATACAGGGGACCACAGGAAAACATTTCTCTACCAGTTCGGTCAGTAACACATTAAGGGACAGAGTTTGCGGTCAGTGAGAGTTTCCAGAGCTGCTGTCAAGACTCGGGTTTGAGAAACTTTATTCTCATGAGCAACTGAGACTGTAAAGTGATGTGACAGAGATGAAGTTGGGCTCATGTGACCTGGGTTCATGCTGGTATATCTGCCAATCTGGGCGGTTGACTTTAGTTCACTGAGATGTTTTAAAGTAACTGTTTTATGCGTCTTTTATATTTTATAGTTAAATATAATTTGGGACTTTGTAAAAGAACAATAATTGAGGATGAAAAATAAAATATCAATGTTGAAGAATATCCTTCCTTCCTCTCCAAATGCTTTGTTTCACTTTTGGGAGACTGTGGTCTTGGGTTGCTTTGGACCTAAGTTCACTCATGAGGGCAATTAAGTGCATTTTCAATATATTTCAGAATAGTATTAAAATGTGTTCCTTATGTTCTGGAACCAAAATAGACATTAAGCTACAGTACGTTAATGACGTCATGTGTCTGCTGCAGTGATATGTGAGGTACAATTACTGGCCGCAGCCATTAGAGACGACGTCTTAGACACTAAAAATGTTTTTGCTCTGCAGAGAGTGATTTTTTTTTATTTTAATATGAAAACAGTAAACAAACTGAAAAAACTGTACTGATTAACTTTCAGCATTCTTCAGTCTTCAGTCTTTAGTGTGTCAAGCTTCCCTACAGAGCACACAGTAAAATCTTTATTATTCCAGAGCAATCTAATTTCCATTGGAAATTTACCTTTCCTGTTTATATATTTACGGTTCACAAAGAGAATAACAAGCTATGAGCTAAAAGTCATAAAAGTAAGACGTGTTAGTAAAATATGCATTTCACATCGACCAACCACAGTTGCTTTACGAGAATGGATGACATCATTGCATTAAAAACACAAGGCTATCATTTAATTTGAAAACTGGGCCATATGTTTCACTTCAGGATCTTAAAACCATGTTTCAGTGTTCTTCAATCCCAGCCTCTTGGCATCCACCAGGAGAAACCATTACATCCTTTTCTAAACTCTAATGGTCAAATTTCCCTTGGACAATGATCCAGGGGCTGCTTTGTAATTTCCTCCCTAATATTTTAGGTTCACGTCTCCCACAAAGTAAATGATGGGGTCCAGAAAGTTCAATTCTCTCCACCTTTCATTTGGTATTGCTGAAACATTTCTGCATTTGATCACAACTGTTATTCTACCTCCAACGTACACAGAAGACAGAGCCAAAACAGTTGAGTCCACGTTGTCCAATTGTTGTAGAAGAAGTAAACAACATTTTATGTTGCATAATTACCTGGGGAAAACTGTACTTATTATAGGTTTATAATGCAGTAGGAACAGCAGGATGTAACATTGTACAGACACCAGTGGTTATTGACTATGATGGGTTCGTTGCCTCAGTGGTCCGAGGCCTGGTGATGGACTGTTTGTATAGATTTAGACACTTCTTTCTTACAGTTTGAAAACATTTAATTGCAATTGAACAAACTTGATTGGTTAAGAGTATAAATGTGAGTGTAAAGCGTTGTTATGTCTCTATGTGCTGTATGACCCTGTGTGATGCACTGGTGAACAGGATCTTCTCCACCTTCATAAACATTTCTAAATAAATGTTTTTAGATGAAATCTCTAGGAAGTATTGAATATATTGTGCCATACAGATACGTGCGTTTAATCAATTATTAACCAAAAATACAGATTTCCCCTTTAAATTGTTACCTACTTGTTTGAATTTAAAAAGGGAAATAAATATATAAAGAAATAAAGCTAATTTACAGACGCAAACTCTGGAATGAATTATGTGGTAAATATCTGGCTTGCAGTGAAAAGTCCAGACACATTTCATCTGCATTGCTGACAGCAGTGTGTTTGCTGAGAATGACCATGACCTGTCTCTGAATTCCTGCTTCTTCACAAACCAAAGACTGATTCCAAAAGCCTGCAGCTTCTAACATGGAATTTGGCCGAAATTGTACAACATTAATGTAACTGGCGAGTGTGACCTGGAAAGTGAGGAGTTACAAAGTCACTCCTGACACTACACTAAGCTGTTACACTGTACAGAGCTGACAGTTAACTACACATCCAGAACACACTGTAACTGGACCTCACATTTAGGGAGAAACATGATTCTGTGTTGGAATCACAGGGGTGTGCTAAGTGAGTTTAGGACCCCTGGCAAAATGGATTTTGATAACCGAACTAGACCAAAATAAACATCCAATGAATACAATTTTCGCAGAAATAACACATGATTGGGCTGTGAGAAATTATTCTACTAAAGCACCAGGCCACTGGTAGAGCAATAGATCAGCCTATTACGACTGGATTCCTAGTTGTTAGAATTGAGCATCTCACTAGTTAAATGTTAGGCTGTTGTTGCTAACAGCGAGTGGAAAAGTGCATGTCAGACTGAAAAGGATGTTTTATTTAAACTCTCTTGAGAAAAGCATCTACTGTTAGGGAATAGGTTTAAAAAAATGTGAGACTTTTTCACAAGTTGAGTCAGAAAGTGCTTAAAGTTGAATTAAAAAGGTTGTAACAGAAACAGAAACAGTTGACCCTTAAATTGACCAGGCCTCTGGATGTGAAAGACAATCAAAAAGGTGAGTCCAAGGAAGAAATATGACTCCCAGCCAGGTTAGGAAATAGGTTTTTCATCAGGGCAGTTGAGTCAAATCTTTTAGGAAAGGGAATGACATTTTTCTAGAACACACACAGTCTCTTTGAGTCAGTTCCAAATAGCTGGATAGGACAAAGTAACTACTGCTATCATTTAGCATAAGGTCATCTTAAACCTGGTCACATCTGCATGTTTTTAAAATATGTGCTGTACAAAAGGAGATTTTTGCAATCCTGATACAGTGTAATGGTTCAGTTCCCCCCTCACAATTAAACAAGAATATCCACACTCCAGGTAGGGCTAAAGGTACAAAATATCTAAAGTAACTTTCAGAACTTTTATAAGACCTTCGCCAGCCTGACTGCTTGTCTGGCCTTCCTTCTGCACA